CAGCAGGAACTCCTCGTTCCCCCCCTTTCCCTTCTATGAACACTGCTTTAGGAACCAGGCCTTGTTCTGGAGACTCACAAAAGCAAAGTGGACATGAAGTTTCAGTGGCACAGTTTTCACAAGGACATGTTTAAACAAAACTGGGCTGACTTGCCAGCGTGACAGCAGCTGCCCCGCTGCCCCCCAGGAGGCCCAGGGCAAGAAAATGAAATGCCCCAGGCCCCGCGCTCCAGCAAATCCAGCACAGAACCAGTTCACAGGTGAGATGAGTATCAGTCGCAGGTAAAACGTTTGCTTGTCCACCCTTAGAGCTAAGAGAGAGGTGCCTGGGTGGAGACACCACAAAGAATCCGGAGTGCTGAGTTCAGTGATGGGCACTTACTTGCTAGTTAAAAAGTATAAAAAATAATGTAAAATTCAGGCTACAAATAAATTTTGTCAATACTGGCATGTGGCAATCTGAACTCAGATCTTTTTTTTTTTCCTATTAAGGTCAGGGAAATAAGTTCAACGTTTAAATGCTGTGTGCAAAAATGTTTACCGATACCAAACTGATACATTTTTACCATCTCACTGTAGTGTTTGAACAGCAAGGTAGATGAATTGGTTTCCAACATTACAGGCAACACTAGATAATACTTAAACAAGATAATGTAAACTTTATTCTTAAGGCAGCTGGTACTAACGCTGCACACAGGCATTGCTCAATGCCTATTACAGTAATGGGACACGCAGCACTTTAAAACAAGTAAAAAGAAAATAGCATTATTGGACTAAATGACGCATGTTGTCAAAATACCCTCCCTTTCACGCAAACCATGAAATATTTGGACAGCTAGAAAAATAATGCACCTACTCCTCCAACTTCAGCCTGCTCTTTTACAAATATTTCAAAATACTGATAAATAATAGTGACTGCAAGCAGAATGCCAGTGCCAGACCCGATGGCTCCTAGAAAGTCAGCCAATACTGACAGGGCACCAATGCACAAACCACCAAATGCAGCTGCTGTAGGGATGTACCTGTACCGACAAAAATAAATAAGTATTCATAATCATCGTGAATTTTCATCCAAGGATTCTAACATTAAATCCACTACTACAACAACCAACTAGAATATTGAGCAACAAATTTAGCACTGCAAATGCAACTCTGCCATTAGCTCTTACTATCTTCCATATTTGCACAAAGTAGAAACTGAAATAAATATTCACTGAAAGGAAAGCTATGTGAGTAACCGAACACTGGCAAAGCTTTTCAATTAAACGTGTAACAGTTTTGTATATGTGCTGCTCTGTAACCTCCACAGTACCAAGAATAACTGCTTTGACTTAAATATGTAGGGATCACAGAACGTTAGGGATTGGAAGGGACCTCAAAAGATCATCCAGTCCAATCCCCCAAATTTGCCTTGTGATATAGATCTTCAGGCTTTGCAATACTGCATAAAATTACCGCTTTTCTAATGTCATCTTAGTTCATTAATGGTAAATTAAACATCTGTGAAAATCAAGGTATCTTCCTTTTATAAACATGGCAGAGATTCAAGCCAAATTCCCTCATGATGCCACAAAAGACACTAGAGGTTAATCCCTTACCTACTGCTGTAAACATCTGCATTACTAGGAAAGGCGACATTTACAGCGGAAACAGGTCTCAGATTTTTCAATAATATCTGCTCCAGCTGACCCCTCCCCAGCACTCTTAACCCCCCAGTTCCGCAGCACCGCTGGACATCAGCCTTTCCTCACCTGTTAAGCTCATGAACCATCGAGGTATCCCTGTGGCCTCTCATCACCATTTGCTGCTCTTTGAGTTGCTTGGCAACCTGCAAAAAATCATAATTTTATAAAAGTGCTGCTGCTATTTAGTCAGAGTCATAACTGATCCGTTCGTAGCCAGTCAGTTCTCAATTAAAAGCAGGGTTTGAAAACATTTAGGCACATTTATCACACCTACATCTTTCGCTGATGAGCCGGACACCTCAATCCAAGTCTTTGAGAAGAACGCACAGGATCCCAACATAAATATTATATAAACTATTACATGGACAGGATCCTCAAATATTGCACCCATGGATTCTGGAGGGGACAAGTAGTAGCACAGGCCACCAACAGGATAAGAGCGGGCAGGGCCACCACCACTGACATCCTAGGAGAGGGGAAGAAAAAGGCAATTAGTTATTTCTCACAGATTTCTGTCCTGGTTTTGCTGGGACAGAATCATGGAATCTATTTTTTATTCAGGAAAGCTGCATTTCTGAGAAGACTACAGTACTCAGTTCACGGGAATCAAGTTCATAGGGCACTTTGGTTTCGTTTTTGGCTGGCACCGGCATGCAGTGTTCAAGGGCTTTTGCAGTTTCAAGTTAGCCAGGGGCAGAAGCTTGGGGAGCGAAAGCCTGGGCAGCTGAGCCCAAGCTGCCCAACACAATTATTCCATACCATCAACATCACGCTCACTATAAATTGGGGACTTTTCTGGGGACAGCTCTCTCTTCCCTCGATGGCTGCTGTCCCAGGAGGCTCTCACCCCCTGTTCTACTTCCTAGGCCCACTCCTGTTTGCTGTGACCATCACAGCCTGCTTACTTTATATGAATATTGCTATTAATACTAGGTTTTATTATCATTGTATTAAATCTGTTTGTATTTCAACCCATGGGACTCCTTTCCTTTCCCCTCTCTGGGTGGGGAGGAGTCGTCAGGTGATAAAACAACTGTCCAAACGACGTCTCTCACATTCCTATCCTGTATTCATAGGGAAATTCCTCTTCAATGTTTAAAACAGTTTTTACATACAAATGCTAAAAAGTAAGTATTCCTGTTTTCTGCTCGTTAAATACCAAAGCCTCACAATGAAGTAATATACACGTACACATATAATATATACACGTATAGTTTTATGCAGTTAAAAAAGTGGTAAAATACTTACTGCCCACTGTCCTAGTAAGTTCACCAAGAAGTTGCCGCTAAAACGAACAGACAACATCTGGGAAATAACATAGAGGTTTGAAACCAAGGCAGACTGCAGAATGATGGGAATGTTGGAGGTATAAAAGAGCTTGATAGGATAGCTACTGTACTGCCCACGGTACCGTGCAGACTTGATGGGTAAATCAACACGAAATCCCTGTGGGAAAGAACACAAATGCACCAAGTTTATTTCCAAGATAGAAGATACTCCTAGAATCCCTAAAAGCTATTCCTGACCACACAGTTCTTGCTAAATAAACAAGGTCTGGGACAGGAAACCCAAAGGCTTTCTGCTACAGCCTCAATTATGATTTTAAGGATTTATAAGTGTTACTGTTTGGTTGCATTACATTCTTTTTATGTAAACATTATCTCTCATCTGCTAAATGATATTCCCCTAAAATACACTTCATAGAACAAGGTTTGATAAAAGTCTTTCATGGCTTTTAACTTAACTAGCCAGTTAACAGCAGGCTTCTGTGTAGTATGCCCAGCCTTCTGTTTGCTGGACAAGGCTCCCATCCGAGTAGACCCAAGAAAAGCCACATGGATTTGAAAACCAGACAATTCTTTTTTCTTTTGCCAGCACTCTAACTCAACAGCTTAAAAAAATATATTAAAAAAAATCACATTTTAGCGACACACACAAGAAAAAAGAAAAATTAATCACGATACGGATCCTCCTTTAGTGTCCATTTGAGTAATTACTTAAATTTAAAAAGAAACACTAGCTAAGTATTTCAAGAAAATTGAGGAGGGGAGGAGGGGGGCGGTGGAAATGAGCTCTGCATTCATTTCTTGATTATTTTCTAGAACAAATCTGTGTCATACACACTCCAAAGAAGGCC